AACTCCCACAGCCTGCCCACAGTCTGCAACCCTGCGCATCTTAGAGGCCTCATTTGTAACACCCTCTCTTTTTGTTTGTGTTTGTGTCTTCTGCGATAGCAATCGAAAAATAGATAAATGATACGTATGTGTGTATGTCTGTATGTATATATGCATGTATGTCTGTCTGCCTGTATGTATGTATGAATGTATGCACGTATGTGTGTATGTACCTTTACATGAGTGTACGTATGTATGTATGTAGGTATGAATGCATGCGTGTGTATGTGTGTATGCTTGCCTGTGTATGTATGTATGTATGTATGTATGTATGTATAGGTAGATGTGTGCATGCATGCGTGTGCATGTATGTAGATAGGTAAGCACGTGTGTAGGTATGTAGGTACGTATGCAGGTGTGTGTATAAAATATAATATTAATAATATATATGTAATATTATATATGCAATGCCAAGTATTATTTATTTATGTCTATGTCATGTAGATTACAAATATATACATATATAGCCATAGTATAAATCTGTATATAATATGTTATATATGTAATATGTTATATATGTACATCTGTATATAATGCTATATATATTATATATATCTATTATATTGGTCACACCCCCCCCCCCCCCCCCCCCCCGCCCCCCCAAGATCCACACCCCCTCCTCTTCCACGCTATTCCAAGGTGTTTCTCTACATTGTTCGCTAAACTCCTATATACCGAAAACACCGTAAATACCGATACAATCGTGCTTTACCGTAACCTCATGTGCATGCAAACCGTGCTGCTGCAAGGCGCGGGTTTGATATGTCTAAATCTGGCGCCGAATCTCGGCCGCGGATTAATGGTAGTTTATGTGTTGGAGAAGCTGAAATGCTGGAGGGCGGAATAATTTTGTTCATGTAATACTAAAAAACCTCGTGTTTTTTGCATTTTATGGTGTGCTATTTACCAACATTCCTCTATTAATAATTACTATTGTCTCTCTTACGAAGACGTCTGCGTGCGTAGGCCATCTCTTTCCCGCCTCTCGTGAAGCGTCCGATTCTGATGCGGCCTAATCGCTCTAGCATTTGATTTAAGAGTTACGACATACGAAGAGCTCCTTACATGTCCTGTCCATTATACATGAAGGAAGTCGAATATACGGGCGCATTTGTTTTTGAAGCAATACTCCAATAATTGTTCTTTGCTTCATAAGAAATGGGAAAGCTCCCCTGGAGTTGAAAAGTTCATGTGCATATGCGGGCGCAGAAGAAGGCTCGTCTGCAGCAAGAAGTAAGAGAGCTCTTGCAACCTTCCAAACATGAAGCAAGACTAATTACGACTCTTCTCCGGGGTATAGAACAGCATCAATAATTAAGAGTTAACTGAATGAAAACTCACGTATCGCAGGAAACCGAATAGGAAGTCTCCATTGTTTCTGATGATAGCAAAATGCAAACCGTTTCCTACAGTCTTCAATATGAAATGAAATAAGTTCTGGATAGGCTTGCGATTATTACAGTGTTGGACTTGTAGGCGGTGGAGCTCGCCGAAGAAAAGCCATTTTCGAGAAAGCTCAGGTACTAGAGCCAGTGCCGCTGCCGCCATAGATTTACCAACCTCCGAAAACATACATGAAATAAACTATGTAACGACTAGGCTGGCCTTGTTCATACTTATCAAACCAGAGTAATGAAAACCTTTGCTGTTCCAGAAGACATAAAAAATAGTCCTTGCAGTCCCTGACAACGGTTGTAAGCACATAATTATCTTGTGATACGGTATATCAGTATACCCTGTCTTGGACATCAGAAAACACTGCTATGCTCAAAAAATTCCAAAATTTCCAACCCCAGAACTGACGAAACACTGCAATGCTCAAAAATTCCAAAAATTCCAAAATTCTTGCATCTATGGCCAGGACGGGTGCAAATTCCTTAAAACTTTGGAATTTTTTGAGCATAGCAGTGTTTCGTGAGCTTGGAGGCTGTAAAAAGTGGATTTTCTGAGCATTACAGTGTTTTGTGAGTTTGAAACAACGAAACACTGCTATGCTCAAAAAAAGTGAGCCTTGAGTCTGTGTAAAGTGTATTTTTTTTGAGCATTACAGTGTTTTGGGAGTTTCAAACCACGAAACACTGCTATGCTCAAAAAATTCCAAAATTTCCAACCCTGAAACTCACGAAACACTGTAATGCTCAAAAAATTCCAAAAATTCCAAAATTCTGGCATCTATGGCCAGGACGGGGGCAAATTCCTTAAAACTTTGGAATTTTTTGAGCATAGCAGTGTTTCGTGAGCTTTGAGGCAATGAAAAGTGATTTTTTTGAGCATTACAGTGCTTCGTGGTTTGAAACTCACAAAACACTGTAATGCTCAAAAAACATCAAGTTTTCACAGCCTCAAGGCTCACTTTTTTTGAGCATAGCAGTGTTTCGTGGTTTAAAACTCACAAAACACTGTAATGCTCAAAAAAATCCACTTTTCATTGCCTCAAAGCTCACGAAACACTGCTATGCTCAAAAAATTCCAAAGTTTTAAGGAATTTGCCCCCGTCCTGGCCATAGATGCCAGAATTTTGGAATTTTTGGAATTTTTTGAGCATTACAGTGTTTCGTGAGTTTCAGGGTTGGAAATTTTGGAATTTTTTGAGCATAGCAGTGTTTTCTTTGTTTAAAACTCACAAAACACTGTAATGCTCAAAAAAAATCACTTTTCATTGCCTGAAAGCTCACGAAACACTGCTATGCTCAAAAAATTCTAAACTTTTAAGGAATCTGCCCCCGTCCTGGCCATAGATGCCAGAACTTTGGAATTTTTAGATTTTTTTGAGCATTGCAATGTTTCGTGAGTTCTGGGGTTGGAAAGTTTGGAGTTTTTTGAGCATAGCAGTGTTTCGTGCGCCCCATGCCCC